AGGAGAGTTCGAGCAGGGCCAGAAGAGTTCTGGTAAGAATCCTATGAGGATGGCCCGGCCCTGAAGCAAGTGGGTATCACCAGTGAGGCTGGCCAGACAGCAGGAACCTGAGGCTTAGTGACAAGGTGACCTGGATCTCCTGTCTGTGGCTGCAGCACAGGCTGTAGACCCTGTATCCCAGGAGGGTGGTTCCATGGAGAGGCAGACTGCAGCCATGTGCTGGTGGCCTGTGTCCACACTCCAGCCTAGTGACACAGGCAGCACAGGTTGTCCCCGGGTCTCCTAATGAGAAAATAGTGGTCTGGCTCTACAGTCACTGTCTGTGGCTGACGACAGGTGTCCTGGCCCAGAAAGGGGCACAGAGAGGCCATGGCCTGTGAGAATATGAAGTCAGATCTTCTAGGTCCTTCCAACTTTCCAGGCCTTTCAGAGTGCAGCTAAACCTTTGTGACCCTGGCTTTCAGGAACCCCACCCCCACCCCATCTGTCTTCCAGGTTCCCCGAGTCATAAATCTCCTCTCTCAGTCACAGCCTCTCCTTGGTTTTTCCTTTGCCATCTTACAAAGAAAAACAAAGCCTTAAAAGGGAGCCTGCTGCAATCTCAGTAAGTTCTGCCCAGATTCCCCGACACACCCCCCCCCCCCGCCCCGAGTTCTGACTGTATGGGAAAGCAGCCCCCTGATTGGGCAGGAGGAGTCTCCCTGTGGTCTAGGAAGTCCTGACTGCATCTTATCCCTCTGATCCATCTTCCTCATGGCACCAACCTTGCTATCCTGTGAGCCACCATGGAGGAGTGGAAGAAGAGGCTGTGGGGACAGGTGCTGTGGGGACAGGCCCTGAGCCTTCTCTCAGGTATCTCCTGTTTCTGGAAGCACAAGACCAGGGTCAACAAGAAAGGTGGCATTTTCTAATGACCTTCCAAAGATGCAGGAGGGGTGGAAACTTCCCCTCCAGCTGCTGTGCGTCTGAGTGCTGTGTTCCCAGCTGTGGGTCTGCAGAAGGGACTCCCCAGCACTGAAGGCCAGCCTCCCATCAGGCCTTGCTGGAGGTCTTAGGTCAGTAAACGCTCCCCCCCCCCAGTGGTCTGGGGAGGGGCGTGACCTTGCATTTTAGAGTAGCAAACGTTTGTAAAAGCTGTACAAGTTTCTGTTTTGTTTCGGTTGGGTGAGCCTGGGGACCCTGCAGCCCAGGCTGGCTTCTGACAACGAACTTTTGCCTTCTCTACAGCCTTTCTCTCAAACATTCTGGAATTTGCAGATTCGACAAGTAATCATGGAAACCACCCCCCAAATCTGCTAGGACAGGACCAGTCCTTCTAAAAGTCTCACATACCTGAATGCCTGTACCTTCTGTTTCCAAACCACTCCCTGGAGGATGGAGTTATTAGTCACATCTGCACAATACTGTCAAGGGAGCTGATAGAACACACTGCCCAGATTATTTAAGCTGAAAGGACATCAAGAAAAGGCACAAATAACCTCCATTTTCAGAGTCCATCATTCCTTTCTTTCTGAATTCTTAAAAAAAACAGTTATTGTTGTGTTTGGTGGTTTGAAAGAAAATGGTCCCCAAAGGCAATAATAGGAGATGTGACTTGGTTGGAGTGGGTGTGGCCTTATTGGAGGAAGTATATCACTGTGGAGGTGGGCTTTGAGGTCTCATATATGCTCAAGCCACACCTAGTGTCTCAGTTCACTTCCTGTTGCCTGCAAGATGTAGAATTCTCCTTCACCATGTTGCCTGAATGCCACTATGCCCCCCCCCCCCCCCGTAATGATACTGGACTAAACTTCTGAAACTGCAAACCACCCCAGTTAAATGTTTTTCATTATAAGAGTTGCTATGGTCATGGTGTCTCTTCACAGCAATAGAAACCCTAAGGCATTTTGTATATATGATGTGTGGTTTTTAAGTCTTATTTTTAAAGTGTTAACAACTGTGCCACCGATTTAAATTGTTGTTTTGCTTAATTCTTATAAAAATTCATGGTTCTTCCTCTGTCCTTCTAGCCTATCAGTCTGTAACACAGCCCAGTAATTTACATTTATTTTATTGTACTGTATTTATGTTCTGTGCAATTTTACCAGAATAGGGTAGTTGGTGACTTGTGTGCAATTTTACCAGAATAGGGTAGTTGGTGACTTGGGGAGACGGCAGTAGTGGCCCCTGCTTGCTCTTTCCTGTCCTCCTCTGACCCTCAGAAGAAACAGACCTTATTTTTTTTTAGTGGTTTTCCTTTCCTAATCACTTTCCTGTCCTGACTTCCTTTGATGAAAAGTGTTGTGAAATATCAACCAAATAAACCTTTTCCTCTCCAAGTCGCTTTAAGGGTCATGGTGTTTCATCACAGCAACCCTAACTGAGATGAGAGCAAACTCCCACAAGGTGCCCACTGCTCTGGCCTCTACCTTGGAACTGTAGCATGCATATGCCTACCAGTCCCATCTCCCAACCACACACACACACACACACACACGCACGCACGCACACACGCACGCACACACGCACTAAACTTTGAACGTCCAGAACACGATCCCACATGTAAAACACAGATTACCTTTAGCCTCACAAGATGATTTGGAATGAGTTCAGAGTCTCTTGATTTTATTATTTAAAACAAAATCAACTTGCTGCAGGTGTGCCAAGTTTAATTATGTTGAAAGAACTGGGTCCTGCCTTTTGCAGTCACCAGCCAACTCGGACTGAAGTGATCTAGCAGTATGGGCCCCTGTTTGTCTTGGCTCAGTAACAGTTGCTATGGGAACGAGTCGCTGACCTACTTCCTCCCACCTCCAGGTAAACGCAGGGTTTCCTCCTTCTCTGGTTTCCTGTACCTCCCCCTCTCCCCAGTCAGGAATTCCTCGGACTGATTGCTAAAGGATCTTAACGGAAGTGTCATTTCATGCTACTTCCTGTGGCTCTCACAGTCACAGCCTGTGTAGGTTCCTCCTGGAAAGTGCCCGATCGGAGGCAGCTGTAAGGCTCCTCCTCCCGGGAGGTGCAGGCTTGACCCAGAAATCCTGAGAGGATTGCCCATCTGGACTGACCAGCTTCAAGTGTTCCCCAAGGTGGTTTTCCACCCTAAGCTCCTGAAAGACCAAGCAGGAAGTCCACACGCACCGTCCCCTCTTGTCTTGGACGCATTCCATCACCCCACATGCCAAAACCACTTGTACTTGGCTGAAGCCACAAGTGTCTAGATAATAGAAACTGTACTGTGCCCATGCTGGACACCGCACAAGGCTGTCCACACTTGGCGTGTCTTGGGCACCTGAGTCCCAGTAAACCAGAAACCCAAACCCTTCAATGCATCTCCACAGACAGGCTTCTGTGGCAGTACTCAAAGGAAGCGCCCTGCGATGCACTTACTGCTCGGCATTTTCACGACCTCGAGAGAGATGGAAGACTACAGACATGCTAAAAGGAAAAGTCCTTACTAAGTGTCGACTTCAGAGGATAAGCCACAGGATATGCGGACTATGAGGATCAAACTCAGTCCCCCGATTTGGCAATAAGCACCTGTACCCACTACGCCGACTCACTGGACCCTACCTTACTTTTTAAGGCAGGGGTCTTTCACTGAAGTTCACTGTTTGGCTGGATTGGATAGCCAGTCTCCAGATCTGCCCCCTACCTCTCCACCCCCCCGCATGGGATGGCAGGTTATGTGCTGCAATGTTTAGGTTTTTATGCTGGGGATCTGTGCACTGCTCTTCAAGCGTGCGCAGTAGGCACTTTACCCAATCAACCATCTCCCAAGCCCTCCACAGTTTGTCATTGTGTGTACTCTATTCGTCATCTTGAGATGTAGGACACAGGGCCTATGCTCCCCAGGGGAGAATTCTTATCACGAGAAGAAAGTTCCCCGATTCCTCTTCAACAACCGCATTTCAGGGCACAGCGGGTAGAAAGGTATTCGCTTGCTAGCAAGTCTGACAACCCGTGTTTGATCCTCAGGTTTCACACACCGTAGAAGGAGATAACTCCGTCTCTGGGCTTGGACATTTCCTGGGAGAAGCACAAGCTCCCCACCCCCACTCCAGCAAAAGTCCTCAGAACCTTCCCTCACAGCGCAGCGGGAGTGGGGGTGACTTGACTGACAGAAGCAACCATTCACAAGACCTGCGCTGTGCTCTGTGCTCTGTGCTGATGTCACCAGTGTGGGAAGCACTCTTCCTGAGGGTTCAGACTCCCTGTGAATGAGACAAACTGAGTTGGCATGGCTTCTGGGTGCCATCCAGGAAGCAGCTTCTGGGGTCAGATACCTACCTGAAGCCCATGACTGTAAAAGGATTTTTCTTTGGGTGGCCGGCTCACACACACAAAAAAAATGACATGGAGACTTACTATTAATTATGAAAACTCAGCCTTAGCTTAGGCTTGTCCCACTAGCTTTTTAAAAAAATAATCTGATCCAAAAATTATTTAATAAATCAAAATTAATAAATTAAAATATAGTATTAAATGAGATATAAGAAGAAAAACTTACACTTTCACTTTTGATTACAATAGTACTTATTTTGAGTAGTTTTATATATTTAGAGTGAATCTGTTAGTAACATTACTCCATGTTGTCACAATTGTCCCCATAATCATTAAAAACAGCTTGACAAATCCAGTTTTAAAAATATGAATCTCCCCATCACATAACACTATAATTTTTTAAAATTATATCTAATATCTTTATTTTTACATTGTAAATTGTATAATTTTAATTTTAATGAAGTTGAAATCAAAACATCGAAAGGTCTGATATCTGCAATAGGCACTCACTTTGTCATACCCTATTAACCAGGCAAATATTGTTTGATCAAATGACAGAATGTGGAAAGCAAAAGAGACCCACCAGCTCTTATAACTTAAATTAACCCATTTATATTAATCTACATTTTGCCTCATGGCTTCTTACCTCTCTTCCATCTCCTGTTTTCTCTGTGTCCTCTGGCATCTCTTTCATGCCTAGATTCATCTCCTCTTCCTCTCTCTCTCTCTCTCTCTCTCTCTCTCTCTCTGCATCTTCCTGCCTTGTTATTGGCCATTCAGCTCTTTATTAAACCAATCAGAAGGCACCTTGGCAAAAGCACATCTTCACAGTATACAAAAAGGTTATTCCCCAACACAAGATCAGGTTGGAAGCAAACGTACAACTCATTTCTCGAGGGTGGGCTGCCGAAGGAACTGATTGATCAGGTGTTTGAGCATGACGCGAGCAGCTCCCTGGACTTGGAGGAAGCTGGTGACACACCATTTCTCAGGATCTTGTGATTTGCTCAGTGGTCCCAGGGCTTATGTGTGTCTTGCATCAAGTGAAAGGACAGCTGGCAAAATGCCGAGGTCCTGATGATTGGCAGCTGGGTAAGGAGGCAGCTCGCAGTCTTGCTAGGATTTCTGGTGGGCTGTGAAGTGAGACCAAAGGAAGCAATGAGAGGCTGTGGCAACTAGATACATCCTCCTGGGGCACGGGCATGGCAGCTGTAGGGCCAGTATCCCACCCCTGATATACACCCTTTGGTGCCTCATCTGCCTGCTCTTCCCATTAGAGGTAGCATTGGTTACCAAGCCTCAGAGTTCATCCTACAGGTTAGAGCAACTAGGTGTGGCCCAGGATGGGTCCGCAGCTCTCATAGTCTTGTTCTTCACGTGTCACCTGGTCCTGCACAGTGACAGCTGCTCCAGGGAACTGTTAATATCTCTGCTCTGCCTAGGAGCTCGTTCATGGGAGAAACACCTATGGGCCCACCAGAATGGGGAGAGTTGTCTCCCACGTGGGCTGTGCTCTGATAAAGTTCTTTCCAAGGGGACACATGTTGGTGTTTAAGGAAACAGCATTCAGAACTCTGCCTTCCATTCTTTAAAAATGGAGGATTTTTATTCATCTGTTTATTTAGTTTGTGTGTGTATATTATGGGGCAGCGCACACATGGAGGTCAGAGGTCAACTCTGTGACTTTGTTTCTCTCCTCCCACCAGGTTTCAGGAATCAACCTCAGGTTGCCTGGCCTGTTTTGCAGGTGCCTTTACATGCTGAGTCATCTTGCCTTGGACTTTCTCAACCAACCTTCTGGATAGCAGGCATATTCCAGGCTCTGGCAGTAGGTGGCGCTGCAGCCAGTGGGACTTTTATCAGGGTTTTGCAGAAATGGAGTCTGATGTAGGCTTCACATCAGCATAATGGCTTCATAATTCCAGTTTAGGAGGAGAAAATTCCCACATGCCAGCTTTCAGTGAATGAAAAAGACTTGAGATGAACAACATCACATCCTTCCAAATGAATCCCGTTTTACAGGTGGAATTTTCTGTGTTCTGAAAATGAATGAGCCCTTTGCAAGACTATGGGATCAACAGATGGCCTTGAACAGAATATTAGAATTTACACTTGGACTTAGCTGTTTATGACCAAGCAGGATGTCTCACGTCCTAGCTCCCCGCCTTTTCCAGTGTTGTCCTAGGATGTCCACCCAAGTTTAGTGAAGATTTAACTCAAGTTTAGTGAAGATTTATCAAAGGCAGTATCAGCACACCGCTGGACACCCTTGAGTGAGAACGTGCTTGTCACTGAAATAACAAAGTGAGTCCAAGATCACACCTACTGCTCTTCACGTGTGAAGTGTGCTCTTGGCAATACTCTCCAGCTCTGGTAATAGTGGGTGCTCCGATGAGGTCCCTGTGACAACAGTGAATGTGAAAATGACATTCTCCTGAAAGCCTTTCATGGTGGGCTCACTAGCCACAGGGGGAGGGGACCCGCAGAGGAAAGGCTGAGCAGGAAGCACATCTAGAGCCTGGGACATCCTCCAGAGCATAGCATGAGACACACCTGTCCTCCTGTGGCATGGTGGGACTGCTCTCCATGTGGAAAATCGTGAGACACAGAAGCTGGAGTGGGCTGAGGACCAGAGACTGTAAATTTCACACCCTTGCACAAAGGCAGAGTAAAGGACTTAGTGATTCTATGACTGGCTCCCACTCTGGGAGTACTGGTCTGACTGCCAGCTATGGAAGGACAGATGCTCTGAGCCCACAGGAGGCTCAGGGAGAAGGGTGACTCTAGACATTTTTCTTTTGAGAAAGACTCTCAGCTGGTAGCCCCAGCTGTTCTGGAACTTGCTATATTAGACCAGGCCGGTCTCAAATTCAGAGATCTACCCGCCTCTGCCTCCTGAATGCTGAGATTAAAGGTTTGTGCCACCGTAACTGGCATGACTTCAGGACTTACCTGATGTTGAACAAAGATTAACTTTGGGTCCATCTGTCTGGAGATGGTACCAGGGGAAACAGATCAATAAGACTCTGCAATACAAAGTTCAATTCTCTGTGGCCAGATGAAGATGATAAGCCTGGGGGAAAGAATGGGGAAGAAAAGAGGCTTATTAACATGTTGGTGTGTTGGAAAATGGCTGGTGACACAAAGAACAGTCATTCTAAGCCTTGCAGTCCAGGCACAATGGAGCCTCTCAGGACAGACCGCTCCCGATGGTCAGGCTGCACTCTAGGGCAGAAGTCACATCTTGTAGAAACCAGAATGATTTTCTCAAGGGATGACCACAATAGCTTTTCCTCTTGGCACCGTCTGGCAGTACTAGAAATGAGACCGCAAATGACAAACCCACCATTTGATCAAGACCGAGTAATTATGCATGTTCCTCCCCATCCCCACCCCATCTCTCCTCTAGTTGAACTTAAGGTTCATGCCAGTACCCTAGAGATAACCGGAGTTGCTGTATCCCCTTGTCAGTTCCTCTTCCCAACATATTCATTAAATCTCCCTCTGTTTTTTACCATCACTGTCTCTTTAATCAGAGATTGGGATGCGTTACCAGGCAGAGGCTGCTGGGGCCAGGTCTCTTTCGTGTTGGTGCACACCTTTAAGTCTAGTACAGAGACAGAGGTAGATGGATCTCTGAATTCAAGACCAGCTTGGTCTACAGAGCAAGTTCCAGGACAGCCAGTGCAACACAGAGAAACCCTGTCTAAAAAAAAAAAAAAGACAAACAAAAGAAAAACTGTAGTTATATTTCCTCTTCAGCGAAAGCCTCTTGGAAAAAGCTGAGTGTTCTAGTTTGCTTTTCTGTTACTGTGATAAACCCGGAACAAAACCAACTTGGGGAGGAATGGGTTTACTTGGCTTACACTTCTAGATTCCAGTCCATGGTCGAGGGATGCCAAGGCAGGACCTCACACAGGAGCAGAGTCAGGAAACAGAGGAAGGCTGCTTACTGGCTTGCTTTCCTGGCTTGCTCTGCCAGCTTTCTTACACAGCCTAGAACCATCTGCCTGGGGATGCCAACATCCGCAGTGAACCAGGCCCTCCCACATCAATAAGTAATCAACAGAGTGCCTCATAGGCTTTCTTATGGGCAAATCCGATAGAGACATCTCCTTAGCTGAGGCTCCTCTTTCCAGATGACTGAAGCTTGTATAAGCTGACAAAAATACTCACCAGTACACAGAGCCCATAGCCATTCCTGTCCACCATCTTTATGATGTCTGTGCACGCACCCCAGAGTTCCTGTCACCATGCCCACAGCCATTGCTGTCTGCCACCATCTTTGGGATGCATGTGCTTCTGTCCCAGAGTTCCCAGCACCACTTTAACCTTCTGAGCAGGCTCCAAGACCTTGAACTAAGCATGCCACCTTGCCTTTCTTAAGCTGTGACCTTGGGCTGAGCCCGCTCAGTGAAATACCCCAGTATGAGCATGCTCAGCAATGTGCCTGCTGCTGAAGCTCTGTGCCAGATGAATATTCATCAGGCTCCCTTTGTTCAAGGAAGGCATTGCTTTGACATAATTTACCTGTTGCAGATAGTAAATCTTTTCCTTTCTTATTTCTTGGCTGTGCTTGTGTATATGTGTGCACACCTGTGTGCTTGCATGTGTGCGTGCATGTGCGTGTGTGTTTGAGCATGCATCTGTGCACACGTGTTTCCTCTTCTTGGACTTTGCTTTCTGCACTCTCCTTGGAGGATTCTGCACTCCCATGTCCACCCTTGCACCCACTAGGTCATGTTATGATGCTCCCAGGGCCTCCACCATCAGACTCTCCGGTAATATTTTGAGCAGACTGGGATCCTCAGGCGGTTCCAGGGTGCCATCCAGTGATGACCAGCCAAGACCCAGTTAGACAATGATAATCAAACGTGACCAACAGAGATAAGCTGCAGTAATCATTTACTTCCCTGCTTCCCCATGCACTCCCTATTTGCCCTTCCTGGGGGCTTCATGAACCCTTGACCTCCAAGCAGTTGCCCCTCTTAAACCGTGAAGAGAGTGGAAATGACATCTTGTTGCAAGGGCTGTGCAACTTCTGGGAAAGATGACTCACACTAGTTTAAGAGTCTGTCCAAATCCCTGTGTCCTCCTGGCCTGACAGCCCACCCTGGGATGATATAGTGGGAGAAAGGAGGTGAGGGTTAGGAGAGAGGTAGTGTACACAGCTTCAGTTTTGGACCTCAAGGCCTGCAAATGCTCTGTTTTAATGCACTTGACCGAGGAGTTTGTGACGAGATGTATTCTGAAACATTTGTGTATTCTGGGCATTTGGGACAATGAAGCTATAGCTGCCACACCCACAGCTTCGGCTAAGAAGCAATTTTGACTCAGTCTGTAGCTGTTGAAATTTGTTGCCCTGTAACACAGTATTACGCTGACAATGGCCTCCTGACGTCAGTCTGGGGCAAGAGGCATTTGCCTGCCAAAAGGCTCAGAGGCTGTGTTAGAGCTTGCCCTGCTGCACTTAGGATGGGAGCTGGGTCAAAGTGACCTACTGTGGATCTGGAATTACCTCCACAAAAAGGAAGAAACAAAACGTGCTGCTAAGGGGTTGCCTGGCATAGGGCACTGGGCAGTTCCCTTGGCAACAGGGAAGGGGCATCCTCTTTTTGGAAAGTAGTCCTTAAGCTTTTTGTCTCCTTTCCCAAGGTGCACACAGTGGCTGCCTGCAAGTCCGTGGGACTACACTCGGATGGGCATCTGAGCTTTCTTGAAATAGGCTCAAGGGGTGATCTTACTAGGGACAGGATGCACCCTGAGGATAGTTCGTCTGTCGAGGAGGGTCGCAGTGGGCCTGGAGCAGAGTGTTCATAATAGGCAGGGATAGAGTGCAAAGTCTGACCAGAAAAGAAGGTGTCACTTTAAAGCGCTTAAACAAGTGTGAGATGCTCTAGTTGTTTTAGGTGTTGGGGATTGTCTGACCTCTACACACCACATTCAACACTTGACAGCTCCAAAGCTAAGCAAAAGCTGCCAACTTGAAGGACCAGGTTTCAAAACTAAACACTAAGAGAGAAAAAGTCATGGCTAGATGGCTGGGCAGGTAAAACACAGTCTCCAATCATTACCACCTGATTCATCCCCAGGACACATCCACAAGTTGTCCTCTGACCTACACACACACACACACACACACACACACACACACACACACACACACACACTTGGCCTGATTAGCTAGACAGGGACCATGACATTAGCTGAAGTCTCCATCATCCCACTGGAGCTGCCTGAACTTTGACGTGGACCCTTTCCTGGTATGCACAAGGACTTCACAGAGAGTGAGGGTGTCACTGTGTCTGTCTCCTGGAAGGAAATGTGGTGGTGCTGGGGCTCCACTGAGGCTTAGGTCTATTCTGCTGCTTTGTTCTCTCAATTCAAAAATATTGGAATATTGGCAACACCAGAAGTTGGCATCTCCCTTTCTCCACTTCTATTTCAAATAGACAAAATCACCAGGTGTTGAGTTTCAAAGCTGACCCTGGGAGGTGGGCTTTGAGGTCTCATATATGCTCAAGCTACAGCCAGTGTGTCAGACCACTTCCTGTTGCCTGTGAGTCAAGATGTAAGGACTCTCAGCTCCTGCTACAGCCCTGTGTCTGCCTGCATAACATCATGTTGCAACAAGTTGATAATGAACTAAACTTCTGAAAATGTAAGTCACCCCAATTAAATGTCATGGTGTTTCTTCACAGCAAGAAACCCTAACTAAAATAGTAATCTTCCTGCATGTATGTCTGTGTGCCACTTGGGTGTCTGGTGTCTACAGAGGTCAGAAAACACTGTCAGATTCCCTGAAACTGGAGTTACAATCAGTGTGAGCCAGTGTGGGTGCTGGAATTCTGGAAGAATAGCCAGTGCTCTTAACCATTAAGCTATTTCTCCAGTCTCTTCTTATGAGTGTGTCAGCAGGAACGGCAGATTTTGCCAATCACAACTAATTCTTCCTCTTGATTAACTAGGCACTTATGATAGTTGCTTCTTACCAATGGCCAGGCAAACTGGTTTCTCAGTCCCTTCCAAGGCCTCTGTGGGGTTCTGATGGGAATAAAGGAGTCACACAGTCCAGCACAGGGAGTCACAAGCAGCAGACTTTGAAGGACCTACAGATTCACAGTATCCTCCCCCTGAGCTGTGTTGAACCATACTAGGAAGGGATGTGTGTTCTCTGAAGTGCGTCTAACCTATTTGTGGGCCCTGGGAAAACCTTGTGCTTTGGGTTGGATGTGTGCCCCTCAGATTTTCTGTGGAAAATACAACCCAGCACCTCATATGTTAATGATGACTATTGGGGCCATGAGTTTGGGGTTCCCACACTGACACTATTGGCCTCTGTGCTGGGCCCATATAGAATTTACTTGGTGCCTCTACATTTCCTCCTAAGTTTTCATTTTCTCTTACTTCTTTTAGTTAGTTTGGTTTTTAAGAAAAAAAGTTCTTTTACCTTTTATTTTGTTTTGTGTGTTTGTGTGTGTGTGTGTGTGTGTGTGTGTGTGTTTGCGCGCATGCATGCCCATGCGTACTGCAGGGCATGTGTAGATTCAAAGAACAATTCACAGGAGTCTTTTCTGTCTTTCCCTCATGTGATTGTAGGAATCAAACTCAAGGCTTTGGGTTTGGTGGCAGTCCCATTTACCATCTTAGCCATTTCGCCCCTCTTCCTTAGTCCCTGTAAACAGTCAGGAGGACAACAGAGAGCACTGGCAAATCAGGTGAAAATGAGGCTGGAGAGCAGGCATATCTGAGGTCAATGATGAGGGGGCCCTTTTCTGCCCACTCAGGCTCTGATAATTGCTATCAGCAGAGGACTGTCTCAGAAGTGCTAGTGTTGGAGCGGCGCCCAGCTTCTGCTCGCTTGTACACTGAAGGAGAATGTGTTTGTCTGTAGATTACATGAGTGAGCACTCTCAGATCCTGGTAAGTCGAGGCTAGTGACATTTCTGTTCATAACCAGTGCTGGAGCACTGCCCGGCCCAGCACCAGTGACCACTGGGGAGGTGGCCTGTCCCCTGCTGTGTGTGTCTTGTGCAGGGTGTGAGCCAGCACCTGGTGAGTCTCCTATGGAGCCGAGCAGGGACAGCTGCAAGAAGGAAAGGTAGGCTGTAGTTAGTATCCTTGATGTATTGTATTTATAATTATAGAGACAGTCATTGGCTTCCCAAGAAGTTCATGGGAGCAGGAAAAAAGCAGAGAAATAGATATATAAGCAGTCTCATTACACAGATTTACCCACTATTAACATTTTGTCACATTTCCTTTGGAGTTTTTATTACTGTTTTTAAAAGCATAATTGATACCATGCAGTATATATAATTTTACAATTTTTTAAAAAAAATCAATGTATCAAAGAAAATCCTTTGTAAATTAAACAATTTTGTAAACAAAAATGTAAACATAGTTTTTAATGGCTTCACAAAGGTGAACTTTATGAATAGACCACACTTTAAGTTATTTTCCCTCTTAAATCATGACAGTAAAATATTGGTCCTGGCTGGCACACATTGAACTAAGGCTCTGGGCACGTGTTGAGTAACCCATGAATACCTGGGTTTGAGTCTCAAGTGAGTTCATGAATTAGAGCAGGCATGTGACCGAGAACTGAATGAATGAAACCCAGTACAAATGTTTTGAATTTCTTTTTTTTCTTTCTTTCTTTTTTTTTTTTTTGTTTTTTTTTACGAGACAG